CTTTCCTTAACTCTAGCTCTCTTAGTTCTTTATTATTCTTTGGTACGTCAAGCAATGCAATGTATGGTTAGGTTTGTTGTTACATCAAAGCCGTAAGGCCAGACTTTGCCTAGAAACCATGTTGCTTAATGTATGCTTATGATTATGCATATAGCCTATGGAATGAGTGTGAAATATGAATGAGGAATACCCAGTCAAAGGCAGTTTAGGGTTTGTAAGGCAAATGAAGCTGCCAGGAAAAAAAATCTCTCACTCTCGGACAAGATGTAGCAACACAGCAGAAGCCTGGGACTGGCCCAGAGAAAGCAAAGCCTCCCGCAGATCTGAAGAGATCTCCCAGGGAACCTCATGGCCGAGTCTCCAGGAAGCTGACGCCAGGCCAGCACTCCAGCCACCTGCGAAATCAAAAGCAATCTACACCGCACTTGCAGCCTGCCTCCAAACTGCCAGCATGAATGTGATGTGTGGGTGTGAGTATCACCTTACCCTTAAGAATCGGTACCAATAAACGACCCAAAAGCAATATGGCTCCAGCTCACCCTTTCTCCTGCTTTGTTCCTCAGCAGGTCTTTGAGGAAGGGCAAATTAGTCAAGCAATCAAGAGGTCATTCTTCCCAGGTAAAGGACCTTTTCAGGAAAGGATAACTTTCTCAATTGTCCTTTAGATATTCCAATAACAGAAAGTACACTTCTCTCACACTGACTTCGATAGACCCAGCATTTTGCCCTATTGCTCATCCCATGATCTACAGGGACCTGAAGATGCCAACTGGCAGAGGACAGAAGGGTTACAAGAAACCTGTTATTCTAATATTTCTAGATCACCAAAGACTGCCAGAAGAGGTCTCAAATAAAAGCCCGTGTCATATTGTCCATCGCTATCTTTGCAAAACACACATATGGCTATTGTGTAAGAAGTTTTACATATTCGCACAGCAAATAGCGTTCTTATGGTCCATCTCTAGTCTGGGGACTGGCCAACAGCAAAGGTGACAATCAGGTTTTCTTTCAGCCAAGAAATGGATGTCCATTTACATGTAAATTAAGTATTGTATAAGGGCCACAACAGGTCTCCACTCACTGATGGGAGACGAATGCTAATGAAGGATTGTGAAGTCCTCAGTGAGAGAAAACCAACAGCAAGACTTGTCCTGTTTAAGAACAACACAATGAACTTTTGAAACAAGATCTGAGGTACAGATGAATCCCTCAGTCTTCCTTTCATCTGCAAGGACAACCTGGCAGGGGGCTTGATCTAACCATAAGGAGACTCAGACACACTGGGGAAAGAACTTTAAGGGAGCTTCCTCGTAGGAGATAGGGGACGGCCTCATTAGTTAAGTGCAGTCTCCAGCAAAGGAGTTGATTTTATTTCTGACCGATATTCTTCTTCACGTCCACTTGAATCTCTGTCCTCTGATAATATATTGATAGGGAAAACAAGAACACATTTTAGCGCTGTGCATTCAGGAGTGCTGAGTTCTAAGGGGTAACTAGTATGCAGTGGGGTATTGTTCCTTTGAGAACAGCAGGCCTGGTACCTCGGTGAGTGTTCAGTGGACAACTCCAGAGTTGGCGTGTGCTTATCACTAACCTGGAGAGAGAAAGCAAAGGCCTGGAAGACAGTGCCTGTACTGACAGAGACGGATAGTTTCATGGAGCTGATCCACAGGCACAAACAAGACTCCCTCATGCTAAGGCCAGGCGGTGGTGGTGGTGTGTGGTCACTGCCTATTAATTTACCCAAATTGTGAACTCAGCTATAAAAGGTCACAGCAAGTGAATAACCCATAACAGCAACAAATGTTGATGGAAAAAGGGAGGTAGACATATTTAGTCCACACAAAGAGGCCTACTAATATCATTCAAGCACTGCATTAATAGCATGCTCAGTACACTAATTACACGTTTAACATGTGACCACTTAACACGTTTTTGCAATAGCACGATTTTTTTTTAGGAAACGTTTTTCGAATAACACGACTATCCCCGAAATAACACGAAAATAATCAAGTGGCGGACTACTTCACGTGGCGGTATAAGTTGGTGAAAACAGTGGTAATATGCATGAGCGGATGAATACACATGATCACAGTGCTCCTCCGCTCACTCATGTGTTTATCTTCGTGTTTTAGCAAACCACAGCAACTTGTGTTGCTAGTTATCCTGTGTTGCTAGATAGCCAATGTTGTCACTGATGACCTAGCACCAACAAAAAATTGACTTTGCCGCCACCACCTGAAACACAATCCCCACCTTTTCTATTATTTTTAATGGGAAAATTGACCCCGCATAGCACGTTTTCGCTTAGCACGAACGTTTCAGAAACGCATCTATAGTGTTAAATGAGGAATTACTGTAAACAAGAAAATGGGGGACTGGAAATTTATGAACCAAAACTGGCGTGTCAGAAACTAGGCCTAATGAGTGGACAAAATAACGAGGGAATTAGCTATTCTGCCTTTTACCATCCTAAAAGAAAGAGACTTTAATTTTCAGAAGAAAAATTGGCTACAGGAGCAAGCTTCACCATCATAGTTGGCACCCCTGTCTCTTGGGAACCCAGGACTGCAACATCCTGATCTGGACAGTGAGAGACACCCCAGATAAAACTGCCATTTCTATACACTCCAGCTGAATCCCCACCACCAAGGATGAAACAGGTTTGGACTTTAAGAGCAGCAATAGCTCTAACCTATCTTCTCTTTTCCCCAGAAGGGAAATGATTACTATCTTGGAGACCATCCAAGACAGTCACAAACGTGTTTTTGCCTCGAAAGACGCTCGCCAGCTAAAGGGAAAGGTAACAGGAGATGTTGTTCCAAATGAAAGCCTTCCGTAATAGGTCACACTTCAAATGCTTGTTTTCCCATCACCTTTAATACAACATTAAAAGGACACTGAATGACGTTTGCCCCGGTGCTAAGAGGCAGAGGTTTCTGTATGCCAAAACTCAAAACCCTGTTTGATGGAGTTTAACGTTGGACAGTGACTGGGTTGAAGTAACACCTCCAGCCCCTATTGACTGTCTAAGGATGTGTTTACACAGCACAGTTATTTTGGATAACAATGCGAGTGTCTACACAGCAATCCCGTTATTTCAAAATAAATTAAAAAATAACAGATGGATTATTCTGACTTCTGTAACCACATTCCATGAGGAATAATGTCTCTTCCAAAATAGCTATTCTGGAATAGCAGTAGAGTGGATGCTCCAATGATGCTATTTCAAAATACTCTATTTTGGAGTATTTCTTCCAGAATAGCTCATTTCAAAATAAGCGTGCCATGTAGACATTCCCTAAAAGACGACAAACAGTCGTGAAATTCATCACTACCTGAAGCATTGTTATACTACCCGGAGCATTGTTACACTACCCCATGAGCTTTGGGCCAGGCCAAAGTATTGGCTAGAAAGGCTTCCACTGTTTTCAGGAGACTCCACATCAAGCTCCTCATTATGGCCAAATCCCAGTCACCTGACTTTGGCAGAGTGCTGGCCTGAGGAAAGTGAGATCTGGCCCCTGATGTGCTCACGATTCAAGGCTATCGGCTCAGTGTTACTATTCGGAAGGGTTACATTTTATTTGTGGGAGAGTCCATCGTGAGAAACACAATGTGACTTTCTCGTGGGGAAATGTAGTTACTGAACTGAAAGTCAACAGCCTCCAGCCATGTCATTTATTTTACAGTCATACTGTATGGCTAAATACCTTAGCTGAAAGACCGAGTCAACAGCCTCCAGCCATGTCATTTATTTTCACACGTGACTGTATGGCTAAGTACCTTAGCTGAAAGACCAAAGGAAGACTGCTCATTAAGGGTATGTCTAACACCGCAACATTATTTCAGAGTAACTAACGTTATTCCAAAATAACATTGCCCATGTCTATAAACACACAGTAATTTTGACATAATGCCGAAATTACTTCCCGCAGGAGGACTTCTGTCTCCAACTCCTGCAACCCACATTTTATGAGGATTAAGGGAAGTTATGGGAAGTGTGCTCTCTCTCAGACTTACTGCTGTACAGACAGAGCCAAAAGCTGAAATAAGCTATTTCGATATGAGCTACACAACTGACGTAGCTCAAGTTGCGTAGCTTATTTCAGATGTAGCCCTGCCGTGTAGACATACCCTAAGAGCCCTCTAAGCCCATACACATGGCACACAATTACCACAGAAGAGTAGCTTAGACACAATCAACCAAAAAAGTACTACACATTCAACAAGCTCTATTGTATCCCATATCTGCTTACTACTATGATCTCAGGAAAGTCACAACTATAGGCAAGATCTTGAGGCCTAACCCTGCTCTTCATCCTTAGACATGAATCCCTGTCGAGGCCAGAGCTTGAGAAAAAGACGTGAGCTGAACCGACTCTCCTAACACTGGGTAAAAATAACCCATTGGACAAGAAGTTACTTTTGGTGCCAGTGCCAATTCCTTACGTTAGACGGTCTCTTCTTTCTATCTATAGGATAGCTGGCCTAGAGCTAAGACAAGATACTTTTAAAAAAATACATTTAATAGCGTTTAGGCCCAATTCTTATTTGCAGATAGGCATCTTTATGCCTCCCGTGGCGTAAAAAAGCCTGAATGTAAATTTATATTGACTTTAAGATCCTTTTAGATTCTCACAAGGACATGTGAGTCCGTTAGTGTAATTGAGAATCAGACCCTTTAAATAAAGAGCAAAACACACCCTAAGAGACTCCTTAGACAGACATACCAGCATTTGTTGTGGTCAGTCATTTTAGACTTAACGTCACTACAGAAAGAATACACTTATAGAAATTCCAAAGATGGTAAACCACACAATTTAGCCCTCTGCACATGTAGCAGGCAGCTTGCACTGGATATAACCCTTCTCAAGTAATTGATCAGCAAGGATCATGCATGCAGAATGAAAACGGGATGGCCAACGGGTCTAGGATGCCATCACCAAAGCCATACTTTGTTCCACACAAAATAAGAATTAAATTTTTGTGAGACTTACCGGAATTTCTCTTTGAGACCAACTTCAGATTTGTGCTGAATACTGTACAGGTCACAAGAACCAAGAGAATGGGAGGCTTCATCTTTTATTTTCGTTGACAGCTGAAAGACAAACATAGCATGCACTCTGAATCTCAGCTCTTCACTACAACAAAGCAATAGCTGAAGATCAACTTTTCTCAGAGAGCCATTTTGGGACAGTGGCTTAATACAGTGGCTTCTAAATGGGTAGAGGGGAGCATGATACGACCTAGGAAAATGATATTTTGAAATGAATCATTTATCTGAGTATCAGATAAAAGTCTTTAAAATGACACTTAAAAACTTTTTTTCTCATTTAGAAACTGCTAAACTATTTATCCAAACTAGTACCTATTATATTAATTTGTGTCTGTCCTACTCAGGAGATTTTAATGGCCAAAGCAAGAGTTGTCTCCTACAAAGAGAAGGTATCTTTTAAAATACTTTGATCTCTCATATTACATGGCAAGATGTAAGAGCAGCTTTTTGCATAATTTCTCTTAGAAACCTTATTTCCTCACTGGTAACGTAGCAAGAGCTGCTGCAATGAATACTATATCCGAGATTTCACCTATTAAATGAACTAAAGACGAGTGAATGAAATTCAGAAGTCAATGAATGCAATTCTCAGGGTTCTTATTAGAGAAATAAAATTAGTCTTCCCCGTGAATTCAGCTGTCAGCTTTAGATTGCCTATTTTAGAAAGGAGAGAAATCAAAAGTTGCAGGTTTAATTTATAAAGTTACTGAGCCAAATTCCACTTTAATAAATAAAATTCACTCAACGCTCAAGGAAGTGGGGTTGCAAATATACAAGGGAGCAGAATTCAGTCTCTTATGCATGCATAACAAATAGCTACATTAAATTCTAAACCAGCAAGAGCTCTTAAACATGCTACTAGCTTTAAGCAGTAGTTCCACGGATTCACATGCTTAAAGGGAAATGTGAATCAGGACCCAAGACAGACATAACATTATCAAAAGACCTGCATGGACTTCAACAGGTTTTTGATCAGTCCCTTTATTCTCAGCAACACACACACACACACACACACTAGATCATCATATTAGCAAATTTATAGACATTACAAGAGTACTCAACATGTAAATGCAGATTGTATCACATATTACTGCTTTTAAAGAACTGCTGCTGTGAAATGTCTATCAAACCAAAGGCAAAGGGAATCAATATTGAAGTGCACACGTAAAAATAATGCATTCAACTGGATTGTCCCTGTCCCTTCACAAGCATCTGTAATTAGGAGACCTGTGAATTCCTGCATGCAGATCTGAATTTTTTTTTAATTTGAAGATGTCAAAAGGGTATATACTGCCTGTGATTCTCTGGAAATCATATTTTAATTTGAGTTTAGCACATTACATCTTTTCCCCCTCTTAATTCCACTACCAGCCTAACTGTGGCATGAAGAAAGTGCAAGGGACCATGTATAATCTCTTGTATGATGGCAATTATGCTGCTATTCTATTATTTCAAGTACCACTTCATTTTAAGACTCTTCCTCCCCCTCACCCCATTCTCTAGAGTACTATCACTCTAAATATGCATGTCTTCTTTCCCCCAAATTCCACATTCCCTTGAGCACTTTATGCTTATTGATTCCCCAGGGTTAGAATGTTAGAGAACCAAAAGGCTAGGGGATGAATCATGAGATGAGAAGGCTGTCTCACAACGGTTAATGAAAGAATTTAGTATTTTTCCTTAACCTCTCCTCGGAGTACCCAATCCTGAGACAAGGCGCGCCATCTTGACGAGACATTTTTTAAAAATGTAATTGAACAAATCTTTTGATGGATAATTGCAATGATGATGTTATGCTCGAATGACTTTCAAGTGTAGCTTTGCAAATTGCTTTCTCCGCTTTGCACTCTTCAGATATTACAGCAGAGGTAGGGAGCTCTCAGGTCCTTGTTTCACACTGACTATACTAACTACGCTGCAGCAAATAGACTATAAAAACCAAAGCAAATTCTACTTACTAATATATTATTCATGCTAGAGACAGTTGGCAAAATTCCCATTGACTTCAGTAGGAACAGAATTTCACCATTCGCTTCAGCGAGGCCATGATTTCAACTACTGTTGAGGTTGTTTTAATCAGTCTGTCTACCCAAAGACACTGAAAGTCTATTTTTTATAATGGAGACTGCCTATCTCCTAGAACTGGAAGGGACCTTGCAAGGTCATCAAGTCCAGTCCCCTGCCTTTACAGCAGGACCAAGTACCATCCCTGATGAATTTTTGCCCCAAATCCCTAAATGGCCTCAGCAAGGATTGAACTCACAACCCTGGGTTTAGCAGGCCAATGCTCAAACCAATGAGCTATCCCCCCCCCATTGGGGGGTAAACATAAGCCATTCCTTTTAATCCCACTATTGGAAAGTAGCACTTTTGAGAATGTGGTGGCAGAATCAGCAATATTCGACAGCACTGAACATCCTTGTGCAGTTAGAAATACCCGTTGCCAGGGCTCGACAAATCGGTGTATCTACTCGCCCATGGCGAGTAGATTTCAGCCAGTCGCCTCGTTCACAGGCAGCGCGTGCATGCTCCATGCGGGTCTGGCGCATGCGTGGTGCGGGGCTGGCAAGTGGATTTCGCCGTGGTTGGTCATCCCCTGCCAGTTGCAATGAAGGACACCAGGCTAGATGGACCCTCAATCTGACCAGTACGGCCATTCCTATGTTCTAAGATGTTTCAGGAGACCTATAACACTGAGAAACAAGGTGGGCGGGCAAAGTACTTTAGCTGGTGGTTGGATTTATAGCTCCCACAATGTTCATCTTATTGTGGAAGAACCATTGAGAAGAGAAATAAAGTTTACCCCTACGCCATGCAAACCTGCAGGTATTTAAAAAAATATATTTAAAACTCCAAACTTGAAAACTGAAATGGAGGCTATAGAAAATATTGTTTGTGCTTAAGAGGATCCCACCTAAGAAGTTTCTTGAATTCTTTGCATCACTATTTATTTGTATCATGATGATGCTTAATGGCCCCAACTGAAATCAGCAACTATTTGAGCTAAATATTGAACAAATATGTACGAGGTCATCTCTACCTCCAGACAGTTCACAATTGCCCAGGGCTCCTGAGCAAAGTTTCATACTTAACTCCCCTCAATCATACTGTAATCATAGCCATGAAGACACAAAACAAAGGGTAAGAATGAACACTGAAATGATCAAATGACTTATGCAAAGTTGGATGGCGTGTCAGTGGGAAAGAAACTGATTTTGGGACTATCTGCTGTTGAGGCTATGGAAGGTGAAGAGAGCAACATGAAGAAGTATGGATTGGACTGCAAGGTGGACAGAAAGCTGGCTAGACTGTCGGGCCCAATGGGTAGCGATCAACGGCTCAATGTCTGATTGGTTGGTCGGTTTCAAGCAGAGTGCCCCAAGGATCGGTTCTAGGGCCAGTTTTGTTCAACATCTTTGGGTACGTCTAGACTACCGCGTTTTGTCAACGGAAGTTTTGTCGACAGATACTGTCGACAAAACTTCCGTCGACAAAGAGCATCCAGACACATTGAGTTCTGTTGACAAAGCAAGCTGCTTTGTCGACAGAACTCTGTAGTCTGGACGCAGTGTTACAGGCAATAACACCTTCTGTCGACAGAGTTCTGTTGACAGAAGGTGTTATGCCTCGTAAAATGAGGTATACCAGCGTCGACAAAACTGCTGAGTTCTGTCGACGTTATGTCGACAGAACTCAGCGGTAGTGTAGACGCTGGTATAGTTTTGTCGACAAAAGTCCACTTTTGTCGACAAAACTAGGTAGTCTAGACACCCCCTTTATGAATGACCTGGATGAGGGGATGGGTTGCACCCTCAGCAAGTTTGTGGATGACACTAAACTAGGGGGGAGGGAGATATGTTGGAGGGCAGAGATAGAGTCCAGAATGACCTAGACAAATTGGAGGATTGGGCCAAAACAAATCTGATCAGGTTCAACAAGGAAAGTGGCACTTTTGAGAATGTGGTGGCAGAATCAGCAATATTTGACAGCACTGAACATCCTTGTGCAGTTAGAAATACCTGTTGCCAGGGCTCGACAAATCAGTGTTTCTACTTGCCCTCCTCCTTGTGACATCCTTTTAGATACTTGAAAACCACTATCATACCGCCTCTCCGTCTTCTCTTTTCCAGACTAAACAAGGCCAATTTTTTCAGTCTTCCCTCACAGGTCAAGTTTTCTAGACCATTAAAGACATATCCTGGCCGTAAGCATGTGTCACTTCTGTAATACTGGTAGGAAAAAAGCCCATGTGGACAAAAACCAGCAGAATCTGGCAACTCTGTGCGTGCGCAACAGGAAACAAAACATCTCGCAGGCCATACATAGAACCTCGATGGGCCGCACGTGGCTCTCGGGATGCAGGCTGCCCACCACTGCTCTAGGGAGAAAGGAGAGCACTAATCACACCTGTTGGCAGGAACAGAAGGGAGGGAAAGTTTGAGAGAAGCTCCACAAGGGAGGAAGCTTCCTGCCAGCATCTCTTGAGAAGAAAGGGAAAATGATTGAACGAGGACAAAAACGGGGGCTGGAACGAGGGTTGGAACGAGGGGGCTGCTGCAGCACCCATTGGCTTGAAGAGGTTTCCATCACGTGCAGGGTTTAGAATGTGATTCAGTAGCTCACCACAGCCCTGCTATGCAAATTATTCCAGCACCCCTGTGACTGAATGGCTCAGGCTACATTTGCATTTAGGTTCTGACACAATTTGGGACGTTTTCGTCAAACTGCCGCGGAGCCTTCAATTTGGGCAGCAACAGATGCTGTTTCTCGCCGTCAGGTAGCAAAAGTGCCCAAGAGCGGCCCCAAGTATCCTGGCGGGAGGGGTGAAAACCACAATCCGGCCTGGCTGGGCTGCAAACCCTAGAGAAAGGCAGACAGCAGGGGACTGGAGGTAGGTCTAGACTGCATCCTTCTGTCAGCAGAGGGATGCAGATTAGGCAGGTCGACATTGCAAATGAGGCGGGGATTTAAATATCCCACACCTAATTTGCATAAAAATGGCCGCCGCGTTTCGCAGACTCAGCACTTTGTTGGCAAAAGGC